CGATGCGTGGATGCCAGGGCTGTGGGAGAGAGAGGGAGGACCTTGCGGAGTGACTCCTATGGGGGTGGTATGATGAAAGTGTTCTAAAATGGATTATGGCAATGGTTGCACAACTCTGTGAGTAACTTTAAAAACCACCACTGAACTGAACACTACAAGCAGGGGCATTGTATAGTCTGTGAATTATACCTCAATAAAGCAGTTATTAAAAATAAGAATGATCTGGAGTTTACTGGTGTGAACTAGACTCAGGCCCATGTTAACCATCATTTTAGACCTGGAGTCAGATGAGGCTAAGCCCCGGGGAAGTCATACTTCTACAGACCTCTACCCATGAAGCCAGGGAAAGGGTTCCACCAGCGGGTCCTGAGGGCTGAAAGGTAGCAGAATACATCACCCTCAAAATATTACTGTAGGTGCCAAAACCAGTTTGGCTCAGTGAATGAAGCATCGGTCTGCGGACTGAAGGGTCCCAGGTTCAATTCTGGTCAAGGGCATGTACATTGGTTGCAGGCACATGTCCAGTAGGGGGTGTGCAGGAGGCAGCTGGTCAATGTTTCTAGCTCTCTATCCCTCTCTTCCTCTCTGTAAAAAATCAATAAAATATATTTTTAAAATATTACTGTAGGAGTCTAAGCTATGCCACCCAGGATACTCCACTTAGTATATTGATAATTTTGAAAATTAGCAAATGGAAGGAGAGGCTTTCTCTGAATTCCTTCTTCTCCCTAAAGACAGATCCTTTAAAAGGAGCTCAATTATCATAAATCCTCTGTCTGGGAATTTTATCAACCAGAGGAGATGCACTCTTAACACAGGAAAGGAGATGGACCCCACACCCAGACAAACATCACAAACCATCATAACTCCCATCTATTCTTTTGTTTTTCCCAGCGATTCTTCTGAGGGCCCATTCTCTTTCCGAAAAGTCATTTACCCTCTCCTAAGATCACTTACACACCCTTTCCTTTTCCCTAGTGTGATGGTATTCAAGCCCCAGTTCCGGGCAACCTCAAGAGTTACACTTTTTCCCCCTGGATCTCTCCCAAATCTCTGTTTGTTTGTCTCTTGTTAATCTGTCTTTTATTACAGAGGACTCCGCTAAGAACTGAGAAGGGTAGAAGGTAGCTACTGGGGTTGTCTTCAAAGCGGACCATCCCGTGATCCTCAGGGCTAATGAGGGAAGGAGTGTCCCTGGGGTCCAGAACTCGGGAGGGCTGGAGAACCTCTTTATTTCCCTCCCACAAGGCCTGAGGGGCCCTCGCTGGATGGGTGTTAGAGCAAGGAAGAAAATGGTACAGGGCAAGCAAATCTGAAATAAATTTATTAATTGCACCATTTTTGAGCACCAGCTATGCAGCTGGCACAGTGGTGCATGTGAAGGAACTGGGGTACAAAGAAGCAAAGAGCTCCTCAGGCATGGAGAAGCTGGCTGAGCGGCCTGGAGACAGTGAGAGAGAACTGCGGGTGCAGTGCGGAAACCGGGAGTCTGCTAGCACAGTGGCCCCCAAAGGAGACCAGGAGAGCTCACCGCCACTCCTCCTGAAGTTTTGTGCCATCAGCATGGCTGCTTTTGCTGTGAGTGTGGGCCTGACCCTGTGTGCTCTCTTTCTCCAGGGGACCTGTGGTGTAGGGGTGCTTGAATGGTGGAATCTGGGTGCCGTGTCCTAGGGTTTAGGTCCCTGAAGCCCATAGTTCCAGTACCTCCATACACATGGACAGAGATATAAAGGCCCCCCCCCGGGTATAAAGGGGATCAAATTCATTGGCCAGCCCCCAATGCCCATGGAACTACTAAGGAAACTTAGCTGAACACGCACAGCAGAACTTCTAGTTCTCATCCTAAGTCTATAATATTTCAGGTACTTGATAGATTATGTAACCGCCTGCAGGCTGTCAGCCATCCCTCTGTAGGTTCCAGGTTCTAAGTCAATGGGTGTGTGGAACACAAGGCCTTTGTTAGCAAATCAGACCTTTGTGGTAGCGGTAGCTAGATTTCAGGAAAGTCCCTTTAAATACTGTCAGCACCAGCTTGAGCCACGTGCTGCTGGGCCAGACATGCCATGGGAGAAGGCTTCTCAGATCTTTCGTGTGGAGCTGGAGGGGTGCCTGCCCCAAAGATGCCAGCCCTGGCTTTGAGCCACCTCATTCTTCCCACCTGGTTGAGACCCCGATAGAACCAGGAGGACTCAGGGTGTCAGAAGTGAGGAACAAGAGGGCAAGAGGCTTTAGGGTCCCATTCAGCCTCTGTGTGATTCTGGCCCAGCCGGGTCCTTGGTGCTGGGACCACGTGCTTCCTGAAGGAGATGGGAGCTGGACCACTGGACAACAGAACATCATAATGACAGAAACAGCCTCAGGACCCGACCCAGAAGCTGTAACTACGCCACAACAATTTCCATACTGTGGCCCTTCTCATCCTGGACCGGGGAGGGGAAGGAAGCAGAGACTCCCCTTAACTTGGCGAAAACAGGGCAATGTGAAGAACACTGTGTAGTCAGGCTGAAAATTAAATAGATGTTTCTTTAATTCAAAGGTTTAATTGTTCTGACGGTTTCCATAACTTAATCGTAGCCATCACTTCAGCTCTAATTACGAATAATGAAATGGATTATTTGCAGTAACTAATATGACAGGGAAAACTAAGAAGTGAGAAATTGGTAACTTGGCAACTGAAAATTCATTCATCTTCTTTTCAGCCCATGTTTATTGGGTACCTACTGGGTTTCAGCCTTTGCCACGGTCCAATAGATGTGCTCTTAGGGGGAAAACAGTATCATATAACCCAGACCCCGGGCCAGTTTCTTTCACTCCATTATCTCATGTCCCGCTCTCAGTAACACTCCATGCAGGGATTATTGCTCCGATTTATAGAAGCACAACTGAGATTCTGATAGGTTAGGTTCGTGGTCGGCAAACTGCAGCTCGCGAGCCACATGCGGCACTTTGGCCCCTTGAGTGTGGCTCTTCCACAAAACACCACGGCCTGGGCGAGTCTATTTTGAAGAAGTGGCGTTAGAAGAAGTTTAAGTTTAAAAAACTTGGCTCTCAGAAGAAATTTCAATCGTACTGTTGATATTGGGCTCTGTTGACTAATGAGTTTGCTTAAGTTCATACAACAAAACCTATGCTCTTTGCCACCTAACCTGTCTCACATCAAAACCTACAGACGGACACTCTGAATCTTATTTCCTGCGTCATGCAGGTAAAGTCAGCTTTTTCCTAGGGTAAAGGTTGCTTTGTGTTTGAAGTAGCCAAGACAGTGATTAAAATGTACTTTGGGGAAATTAACCTGACAGTTGTCTGTGCAATGCATCGGATGCTACTGAGATGGCCCAGGCCGCAGGCTGGGACCTTAGCCAGAACGGTGGCAACAAGACTGGGAAAAGGGGCTGTTGGAGGCACCCTGGGGGTGAGAAGGGGCCTGCTAAGGCTTTGGGTGTGGTGGGCAGGGAAGGAAGACAGCCTTCCTGGGGCACAAAGTTCCAGCGTGGCCACTACTGGTGGCTTAACCTGGGGCCAGTCACTCAACCTCTCTGAGCCTTGCTCTCTGTGTGCCCGGAAGATGCTATACCCAGCTAACTTAACTGTCTCAATTCAGGGAGCACATAGACTGAAACGGTTTTGTGTTTTTGATCTGCCTCTGTGAACTCTCCCTTAATATCTTGCTTCCAGGTCATTTTCAGATTTTCATGGTCCACCGCAGTTTTTAAGGCTTCTATTTCAAACTTGACTTAAATCTCGTTTCCTGCCACCCACCCCGCTACTGGCTGCTTCAGCAGGGAGAGCTTAGGATTGCCAGTTTGGAGCCTGGCAAGTGGTGAGGTCTGGCTCCAAGAGGCTCCTCTTTGCCCTGGGGAGGACGGTGGGGGAGGAGGGAGAAGGAACGTGGTGAGTGTCCCCGTTTGCTGGCCTACGTTGCTGGCTCTCACCATGACTGTGGCAGCTACCGGCTCATACTGACTAACTGGCCAGCAGGAACCAAATGCGGGTTTGCTTATAGGGCACATGTGGTCTTCAGAGCTCCTGTAGCGACTCCTGCTGCTCATGCTCCTGGTGGGGAGGAGCTGGCTCAATGCCCCCCACCCTCCTCCTGCCACTAGCCTTGAGCTTCTGGGCCTTTCTCCCCCAATGGGCAGTTCTTGAAGGAAAGAAAGAGGAGAGATGGTCCAAATCTGACTTCCTTCCACTGTATCCACTGCTATTGTTACTGCATTGTGTCAAGGGGGCAGGCTGCTCCCTGGCTATCTGCCCTCTTTGCTGCCATTGCTCTTTCTCTGAGTGGAGGCTGGACTCCAGCCCAGCTGTGTTTCACACACCAGGCCTGTAGCTGGCATGGGGCATGAAAGCACCATATAGACAGCACCTGCCTCTGAGGGGCGGGCACATCACTCACTCCCTGCTGGGCAGAAGCCTCGAGCAACTCCAATCATCTTCCCCCACAGACTTCTTTGAGGGCTAGAATGGCCGTGGTGGTGATGGGGGTCAAAGGGCCGTGTCTATCGCCACCTTGAAGAGGGGTCTAGTCCCAATTCCAAGTCCAATTCATCAATTCTGTCGGCAGAAAAATTCCCACTTCCCCACCCTACTTCTGCCTGGCTATTGAGACCATGCTGGATGACTGCGCTCCTGTCCAGCTTTTACTGTCATCTCAATGTCTCTTCTTTTTCTTTGCTCTTTGACTTCCCTTTTTGGGGCTCTCTGTCCGCACAGTACGTGTGGAATTTTGAGATGGACTCTGGAATTTTGAGATGGCTCAGCAGGCTGGGTTGGTTGGCCTCTTGGGTACCATGCAGTCACAGAAGCAGGTAATCGAAGAACAAACATTCCTCTGGTGTTTGGAGTCTCCCTTAGTTACCACCAGGCATCTGTTTGATTTCTCGCATAGCAACGAAACGGGGAGGGGAAGATGAGCGGCATCTGGAATGCCCTTTGATATAAGGTGGGACTCCGCTCCTGGCAGATTTGCTGGGAGTGTGCACAGAGGTGAACGATCAAGTATGCAGGAAGCAGCCCTCCTCCTGTTTCTCCTGGGGGCCCTGTCAGGTAGGAACTCATTTTGCCACCTTGTTTGCTCGACTCAGTTTACAGGATATCATTGTATGATAAAGTCCTGGAAGAGGAAATTGCCTCTGGGAGGCCGAGATTAACTGTGGGCTTATCTGCACTGATGAATGAAACGGTGTAGCAACCGGAGCCGCAGGAGGTAGGAGTAACCCAGAGAGGGGGATGCCTATGGAAGCCACCATCTAGTCCATATCTGAACAGAATTCGCTTTCCCACTGGTGTTAACTGGCCTGTGCTGGAAGTCCTTCCAAGACCCAAGGTTGGGAAAATAATTTTCATAGCAGAGCTTAGTATTTCAGAGGAGGAAATTTTTTTGTCTACTCTTCTAGGTCATTTTAGCTGGTCTACTAATGGAATTGACATAAGGCAGATTAACAATAGAAAAACAGGTTTAATTATGTACATAAGGAGGCCCTATAAGAATATGAGACCGAAGGCAGTCAGGCAACTGAGCCTCACAGAGAGGACACTGAGCTCCAGGCCCCGCTGAGCTCCCCGCTCCCCTGCCCACCGCGCCTAGCCTGCACGCTTTGTAGTTATCTTTGGTGATAGCTCTCTTCCTAGACCAGGCCCTCTATCTAAACTCTTTTAGAAAGTTAAAGGGGATATTTATTATTATTATTATTATTATTATTTTAAAAAGCTATTCCTCAATCTTTTGGGTCCCCATGCCTTTGTCTCAAAATAGTCCCCATGTCAAAGTGGCACAATCTAGGAAAATGTGTTCTGAACCCCTTCCGTGTATATGTCAAGTTCATCTTTGTGGAGATTCTGGCCTTTCTCTGGAGACTTTTGGGGGCAACTTGAGCTTAGCAAATCCTGTCGAAAAACTGAGCTACTGAGGAGGTATTGTCTTACTCTTGGGTAGAGGAAGAGCCAAAGATTCTTTCTCATCTTCGTCCTTATTAAAGAACTTCAAGAATCTTAAGGAGGTCTTTTTAATGTTGTCAGCTCAGATTATTGAAATTGAGCTTTTCATTTATTTATTTTTCTTTTCTTTTTTTATTGAGAGAAATCAATCTTTTTATTGATCTTTTGAGAGAGAGAGAGAGAGAGAGAGAGAGAGAGAGAGAGAGAGAGAGAAACACTGATGCATTGATGTGTGAGAGAAACATAGCTTGGTTGCCTCCTGTATATGACCCAATCAGTGATGGAAGCACAACCTGGGCATGTACCCTGATCAGGAATCAAACCTGCCACCTTTTGGTGAACAGGTTAATGCTCCACCCAACTGAGTCACACTGGTCAGGGCAGAAATTGAGCTTTTTAAATTAAATCTTATTTTTTGATAGATATCATACCATAATGTATAGAATTCAATCATGTTAAATTTGCAGGTTAATTTAGAGATAATTTACATCTTTGATGAGTTAACTTAGTGAAACACTTAGAGGAGTGACTGGTACATAGTAAATGCTTAGTAAATTTTAGTAATTATTTTGTACTAAGAGGCCCCGTGCATGAAATCTGTGCACTCAGGGGGATCCCTCTGCCTGGCCTAAACCCTCTTGCAGTCTGGGAGCCCTCAGGGGATGTCCGACAGACTTCTTAGACCTGCAACAGACACCCTTAGCACTGCCGCAGAGGTGGGAGAGGCTCCCGCCACCGCCACTGCACTTGCCAGCTGTGAGCCCGGGTTCTGGCTGAGTGGTGCTCTACCTGTGGAGGTCAGTGTGCATGACAGCGACCGGTTGTTCCACTGTTCAGTTGATTCGCATATTAGCCTTTTATGTCTGCAGGATCGGGCTGAAACTGGTCTCCAACATCCCCTAGGGGTCCCGGATTGTAAGAGGGGGCAGGCCAGGCAAAGGGAGCCCACATCAAGCTAATATTCCTGCACAATTGCTTAGGTTGCTCCAAAAGCAGCCTCTTACAGAGAACATCACCCAAATCTAACAACTGAATCGAGGGGCCAATTTCACACCAGGCCCCAGCACCATTTTGTGCTTTGTTGCCTGGTCATAGAAAAACTATGATGCATCCCATGTGCACAGTCACCTTACAAGTGTGGAGTGACGACACAGTAGTAAGTATGTGCAGTCTGTTATCTATAAGACCCAGACGCAGCGAGGGCTCACCGTGGCCGCTTACTGAGTGTAACACCTGCTGAGGCAGCAGCATGCATGTTGTGTGTAGAGTGGACAGGATCAGGCAGTAAAGTAGCCAGCATAATGCCTGATGAGCAGGTTCTTAGTGAATGCAAGTGGTTTCTTATTTCAGCAAAGCTATCACTCACCATGCCATTATTGAGAAAAATCTTAGTGAATTAAATCTGAGCAGAGGTGTCCTTTCTTCTCGGCTGCAGGGGCACAAGTCCCGGGTGTGGGTGGGAGGGGCCAAGAGAAGGTGGGAAATTGTTAGACAAATTGCCCACCTTTCATTTTGCTTAGGACTGTTCTTGTCCTGCTGAACAGTGGGGAAACACGTTCATGAACAGCTCAAGGTGGGCTTTGCTGACTTTTTTTTATTGTGAGAAAAGAGGGCATGAGGAAATTATGCCTAAAAAAACCCAAGCACCAAAGCAACTGATTATTTTGCTCATTTTGAAAAACAATTTTTGGGAACATTTTGCCTCTAAATACTCCAGTATACTATTTTGCTTCGGGTTTTTATCACAAGAATGATATAATAGGAAAGTCAATTTCAATAGATTTAAAAAAAAAATCTATTCACATTCACATTACCTTAAGCCTTTGCTATTTTGATTTATCTGAGTCCTTGTACAGTCCTTGTCCATAAGCCTGGATATTTCTGTGAGTAAAAATAACTTAGCACAATGCATTTTGGTCTCTAATCTAAATAAGGTGATTTTAGATTTATAACAGCTTGTATCAATGAATGTATTCATTGTATCAATGAAATCAATGTTGCCTACATTTCCATTATTTCTTTGCATCCCTTCCCCCAAATTTGAAATAAAACCAACATTTTTCCATGTCCCATTTGTTTCTAGAAATTTTACACCCAAAATTTCTGAAATTCCAGAAATAAATAATTCATAAGTTTTAAATTGCTTGCTGTCCTGAATAGCATGATGGACTCTCTTACCAGACATAGTCCTGCTTGGCCCCACCTAGGACTTGAATTATTCCTTTGTCCATCATCTTCAAGTTGTAGACACCCCCAATCTCCATCCCAATTAGTCACTCATTAGCTAACTCTTGGGGTACTGAAGTGCTCATGTTTAATTAACCCTTACCTTAGTTTATAATGGCCAAAAGCACAAGAGTAATGATGCTGGCAATTTGAATATACCCAAGAGAAGCCCTAAAGTGCTTCCTTTACGTGAAAATGTGAGTACAGTACAATAAGATAATTTAGGCGAGAAATCACATTTGTGCAACTTTTATTACAGTGCTAGAGGCCCAATGCACAAAATTCTTGCAAGAGTAGACTTTCCTTCCCCTGGCTACCAGCACTGGCTTCCCTCTGGCTGCTGGCAGGCGGCACCCAGGACCTGGGCTACCCTCACAGCCCCGGCTTTCATCTGGAAGGTCGTTTGGAAGGACGTCTGGTCTAATTAGCATATTACACTTTTATTACTATAGATATTATTATAATTGTCCTATTTTGTTATTGGTTATTATTGGTAATCTCATGCTGTGCCTAATTTATAAGTTAGACTTTATTGTAAGTATGTATGTATAGAAAAATATATATATTTAAACTATATCAGGTATCCATTGGGGGTCTTGGATATTATCCCTGTGAATAGGGAGATTACTGTATTCACTCTATGCCCTTTAGCTCAGTTGCCTCATTTGAAAAATAATGATATTAATACCCATCTGAGACGATGGTTTTAAGGAGCAAATGAGAAAAAGGATTTTACATTATGCGCCTATTTGGAACATTGAATAAATGATAATTTTATGATTTTCCTAGTGCTGCTATAACAAATTACCTCAAATTGGATGGCTTAAAATAACAGAAATGTATTATTTCACAGTTTGGGAGATCGGAAGTCTGAACTAAATGTGTTGGCAGGGTTGACTTCGTCTAGACTCTAGAGGCTTTGAGGGAGAATCTATTCCTTGCCTACCTCCCAGCTTTTGGTGGTGGCTTGCCATCCCTGGCTTGTAGCTGCATTACTTCAATTTCCCCTCTGTCATAACATGGCCTTCTTCCTTCTGTGTGTGTCTTTGTGTTCTGTCCTCATAGGGATTTAGGGTTCATCTTAACTCAGTGTGATCTCCTCTTAACTAAATACATCTGAAAAGACTCTTTTTCCCAAGTAAGGTACATTCTGAGGTTCTGGGTGGGCCTGAATTTGGGGGAAGATACTATTCAACTCCCCTCAGTAACCATTATTATGGAAGCATGAAAAAACATGACCTGTTGCTCTCCTCCGTATTGGCAAAGTCTCACAGAGTGTCAAGGAGACTTGAGAATGTCCTGAGGCATTCCTGGAAGAAACATACTTTCTCTTAAATTGCAAAGTTCCCTGTCTGTCATGAAGTCCAGAGTAGTTCACATGCCTCCTCTAAGTATCTCATTTCCCTCTCTGTAAAACAGGAGTTAATCTATCAACTAGAAAGTACTGACTGACTCTCTCTACATGATACCTATAGCATCCAATAAAAACAAATAACTGTCCTTGAAATTACTTATGACTGTGGGGAGGCCTACCATGGAGCTCTTCAGTCATGCACACTCAACTCCCAGATGACACCATGAATGAAACGCTGATGCAGAGAAAGAGAAGGAACTCTTGTAAAATACTGGGCCCTTGTAAAAGAGAGGATGTCATGGGTAGACTAGATACTTTAAGTGGGTGCCTACCTGCTAAGGTGATGTTTCTCTTCTCCTGGCTCTTCACAAAGATGGGGAGAAAAGAGAAGGGAAGCAGGGAGACAAGAGAAAAGCAGCAGCTTTATGAACAGGATGACAAGAGCAGATTTCATGGTTGTTTGGTGGTGGTTGTTTTCTTAGCTGTAAGATCTCACACTCCCCTCTCCAAGTCTTGGCAGGAGTATATGTTCTTGGGGCGTGACCAGGTTCCGTCGCTGCTCAGAGCTACGACTTGAAGCCACAGAACCAGCTGTTAAGTCCCTGTTCCCAGCACAAGGCTTTGTGTACATGTAATTTTTATCCTTTTTAAATCCACAGCGGGAGAGGCGCTACACCTGATTCGTTTACCTGCTACTAGTAATGTGGCAGAGAATTCTTTACCTGGGACTTCAGTGCATAAGTTTTCTGTGAACTTATCAGTATCACTGTCACCTGTGATCCCAGGGTTTCCCCTGATAATCAACACCAGTCCCCTCACTGAAGCCTTCAACGTGAACGGTCTGTCAGGCACCGAGTTTGAGGTAAATATTCTCTTACGCCCAATGGAAGTTACCTGCGAAGAGGAATCCTGAAGATGAGAGCCCCATGGGATTCTAGATCAGTGATCATTTCTTCCTCTTTCTCTCGTTTAATCTCCCTTATTTCTGCAGATGTATTCTTCTTCCCTTTTTATTCTTGGAAGTGGCCTTGGGAAAATTAGAATGGAGTGAGGAGTCAAAATGTAATTTCATGGCAATCCCAGCAAAGTGCAGCATCTCGTTTTTAAAAAATATATATTTTTATTGATTTCAGAGAGCAAGGGAGAGGGAGAGAGAGAGAGAAACATCAATGATGAGAGGGAATCATTGATTGGCTGCCTCCTACATGTCCCCTACTGGAGATTGAGCCCGCAACCCCAGGAATGTGCCCTTGACTGGGAATCAAACCCGGGACCCTTCAGTCCGCAGGCCGATGCTCTATGCACTGAGCCAAATAGGGTAAGGGCAGCATCTCATTTTTATTTAATTAATTAATTAGTTAATTAACTTTTAAAATATATTTTATTGATTTTTTACAGAGAGGAAGGGAGAGGGATAGAGAATTAAAAACATAGATGAGAGAGAAACATTGATCAGCTGCCTCTTGCACACCTCCCACCGGGGATGTGCCCGCAACCAATGTACATGTCCTTGACCAGAATCGAACCTGGGACCCTTCAGTCCACAGGCCGACGCTCTATCCCCTGAGCCAAACTGGTTTCGGCAGCATCTCATTTTTAAAGACTAGAAAAATCCAGTATATTCAGGGTTGCTAAGGGACTCATCTAGGAGCGTAACTTAAGTAGTGATAGGTTTTTTAATTCTCTGGTTTTCCATTTTCTGTCCATGGGACCAGAATATCTCATGAATATTTTTCTTTTTTGTGAAAAGCAGCAGCGTCCACAGCAGTCCCTTTAGTGGAGAAGTGTCCTGGGGCTTGTGTTGGAAGGACTAAGGCAAACAGTCAGTTCCTCTGACAGCGGGTGAAAGGTGGTTTCTAGGATGCTGTTTGCTTTCTTCCTAGTAATAACCATTTGCAAAATGCATGCACACAATGCAGACCTTCTTTCACAGGATTGCTAAGAATTCTGCCTTTACTTTTAGGTTGTCACTACTGGGAAGGAACCACTAGATTTTGAAACAGGACCAAACACATTTGATTTGCAGATTTACGTTAAGGATGACGTTGGTGTCACTGACCTTCAGATCCTAACTGTCCAGGTAACAGATGTGAATGAGCCGCCTCAGTTTCTAGGCAACTTGGCAAAAGGTAAGATACACAGCGTGTGTGTGCCATGCAGCCCAGATGGTGGCATCAGGGAGGAAGGACCCTGGGGACAGAGCAAACCGGAAAAGTAAATGAAAAAGCAGCTGTTTCCCTGGGAAAGGCAGGTGCTCAATGCGCAGGAAATAAATAAAATGCCCCCCAGCCCAGGGCTCCCAGGAATAATGCCTGGCAATTTACAAAGCCCTCCCTCCCCATCCGAGGTTTCTCTCGGGTCTTTCCCAGTCTTGGGGAGGAAGAGGAGGCTCGGGACCGAAAGTGGATCATTCTCAAGGCATCTGGCCAAGCCCACCAGGCTCCTCACTATGTCCTACTGATCATTGACTGACTTGTTCATTTCCCCAAGGACGCTGACCCCTTGAGAGCAATGTGTGCTGGAATCTGCTACAGAGCAGGGATGACGCTTTAAGCAGTATTTCCCAAACTTTTGACATATGTTGTACCCCTTCTATAATTTTCGTAACGCTGACTCATGAGAACATAGAATTAGGCGCAGCTAAGCATGGTGCAGTGCATATCCCCACCAAACTCGGGTGCAACGCGTACCCCCATCAAACTCTTCCTGTACCTCTGGGGGTATGCGTACCATACTTTGGGAAACACTGCTTTAAGGAATGGGAGCATAAGGTACGGTGAATTCCTCAATGCTCTCCCCCCTGGCTCTTGGCTGTGGATGCCACCAAGTCTATCATTTTAATCCAGGTTCTCCCCTGAACTCCACTCAAATATCCAGGTATCTTACCTAACATCTCCACTTGAATATCTACTAGACCTCTGTAATAGTGTGATTTATAATAAGAAACATATATTTGGTTTTCCTCCCATTCCTGACACAAAGCTCCTAAAACCCTTGGCTTTTCTGCAATGAGAGTGAGAAAGATACGTTTTGTTATGTTGATGATGTGATTGTTTGGAATACCCCTGGGTCACCTAGGCCTGGGATGGTGGCCAGCAGAGCCAATCCTATGATTGGAGGGTTGGAACTTTCAGTCCTACACACTCCCCCCATCCCTCCCACCACTGCAGAGGGTAGAGAAGGTGTAAATGGAGTTCAATTACCAATAACCAATAATTTCATTAATCATGCCCAGGTTGTGAGGCCTCCGTAAAATCTAAAAGGGGCTCAGAGCACTTCCAGGTTGGTGGAGATTCATGCACTCTTCCATCTGGCTGTTCCTGAGCTGCAACCTTTTATAATAAACCAGTCATCTGGCAACTAAAATGTTTCCCTGAGTTCTGGGAGCCACTCTGGCATGTGAATCAAACTAATGAGGGCGTTTTGGGAAGCTTAGATTTATCGCTGTTGGATCAGATGCATAGGTGACAACCTGGACTCGAATTCAGTCAGATTTCCAGCTGATGCCAGAGAATTTCTTGGTGGTGTAGGAAACCCCCCCACACACTGGAACTGGCTGCAGATTACGCTATCTCAAATTTACTGTGCTCCCAAACCAAACCCTTAACTCTTACTTCAACCCCTTCACCCCCTACCATCCCCACCCAAAGCTGCTTTTCTTGTCTTTCCCATTTCAGTTAATGACAACTCTATCCTTCCAGTTGCTTGGACCAAAACTTGGAAGTCCATCTTTTTCCCACAGCGCCAATACACTTCATTTCCTTGGCTGTGTTTGGTTTTCTTTGGCTTACCTGGTTTGGGGATTTCTCATTTGCTTTATCTAATAAAATGTCTCTTATTCCACTGTGTGTGGGGTTGTAGGTCTAGACCTCTACATAGTGGAAGGAGCAAACCCTGGATTCAGTTACCAGGTGGAGGCCTTTGATCCAGAAGATACAAGTCACAATATACCCCTCAGTGTAAGTCTCCTTGTTACACTGGAGAGGGGCTGACCCGGGGGCCTGGCGTCTTGGCAGGGTGGGTAATGGGAGAAATATGCTGCCCACTGCCAAAGCATAGAGGACAGGGGAGGTGGGCATCGGAAAGGGGACTCTGGAGACAGACTCCTCAGATTGGATTCATGGCTCTGTGTGATCTTGGACAAGTTCTCAATCTCTCTGAGCTTCAGTTTCTTCGTCCAATAAGAGCACCTACCTCAGGAGGGGCATCCTAAGTATATTAGAGAATGCATGTAAAGCCACTTAGCATATTAAAATCGCCTGCCTAGCAAATTAAAATTGCACAGTGTTTTTGTTTTTTAATTCGAAGGTGATAAAAATCCAGCTATATTATTTAAAAAAAATAAACATAAAATGTATACCCCGAAGACATTAACATTTCCTTTTCAGAGATGAAGCCAAGCTGCTTGGAGCCAAGTTAAAAAATAAAAAATAAAAACGAATCCCAGGAATTCTAAAGCAAAGGAGGAATTCCATAGAGAAAAGTAGATTAGGTCCTGGAGAGCTGCTTCCTGGGAGATTAGGTCCTGGAGAGCTGCTTCCTGCTTCTCTTCTCTCCCTGTGGAGCTCTTGCAACCACCAAACCTCAGGCAAAGAAGCCTGCTAGCTTGGCAAGGATGCCTCAATGCGTAGCTCTGCCCGCGGCAGCTGGGCAGCCCAGGTGGGAGAAGATGATGCCAGTGGACAAACCTTGGAGCAGGCTACACGCCTGCAAACCCTGCCTTACAGCGAAGAGACTACTTGAAATATGACACTCAGGGAATTGGGAACACCCGGAGGCTGTTTTTGCTGTTTGCTGCATGATTTGCAGCTTCAACAGGACTGCTTTTTCTAAGAGGAGGAAGTGAGCCTTGGGAGTAAGCTCCAGGACCAATATAATGTGGTCCACAGGGTCTGAAATAATGCTGTTTAAGATTATCGGATACATCTTAAGTTAGAGCATGGTCAATGTTATTATTAGAAGATATCTTTCTGTCAAAAAAGAAAAGCAGCTGTTGACAAATCCAAAAGATAATGGAGAGGGAAAGGGAAGACTTTATTCAAACCATAGTTCCTGATCCACCAATTGATCCAATCTTATGTAAATGAGAATCCAAACTGCACAGTTCTAATTGGTCAACATCATGCACTCTGATTGGTCATTATGGAGCAATTCTGATTGGTTAGTGAAGATGGAAATGAGAATATGGCTGTGAGGTTCTGATTGGATGGAATAGATCTCAGTTCACTGGTTGAAAGTGAAAACGAGGAACTGCCTTGTAAAGTGGATTCAAACAGCAGAAGCCCAGTGCAGGAGGTTGAAAGCTCTGTCTGAGATTCTTCCTGTTGTACAGAATACGTGAGAGCCTCTGAGAGCCGATGGCCACTAGACTCTCATTATTTATAAAAGTTGGGCCCTCAGTTGACTGTGGGGAGTCCATCTCAGCAGATAAATGTCTTTTCTGGGATCACATCAAATGAATCTTCTCAGGATCCACACAACCCACTCATTCATTTAAGATTCTATTTGCAAGAATAAGTAAATGAATATGCAAACACTTAGTGGGTTTCTGCTATGTGCTAAGAGCAATACTAGGTCCTTTAAATGCATACTTATTCATAACATACTTGTCATACCAGTTACAAGTGTGTTTGTCTGAAAAGAACAGAAAACGTAACCCCAGTGGCAGATACGGGATCTTCTTCTCCTGTAAGAAGTTCAGAGACAGGCAGGCAGTCCAGAGCTAGCATAGCTGCTGCCATAAAAAACCTGGGCTCTTCCTATCTTTCTGGTTTTCCATCCAGAACATACGGGATTTGTCCTCTTTCTTCACTTCGTGTTTACAAGATGGCTGCTGCATTTCCAACCTTTACTTCTAAGTTCCAGGTAGGAAGGAGAAAGAGGAGGAGGAAAAGGAGGAGAAAGAGGAGGAGGAAAAGGAGGAGAAAGAGGAGGAGGAAAAGGAGGAGAAGGAAGAAGAGAAGGAGGAAGAGGAGGAGGGAAGGGCAGAGGAGAAGAAAGAAAATAAGAAAGGGTAGAGGTTGAAGGGAGCAGGCGAGGCCCATCTGTCCCTTTTTTGGTAGGAAAACAAAGACCCTCTTGGAAGTTCTAACTAGAAGACTTCTGCTCACTTCTCACTATCCAGAACTCTGTCCTATGGCCACTGTTGCTGATGACGACTAGGGGAAAAGGGATTTCGGATGGAGATGAGGTCAGCAACCCCAAGTTATACTTATACATTTAGTTCATTTCAACATTTACCAAGAATCCACTATGTGCCAGGTTTTCTATTAGCTACTTTGGATACAAAGTTGACGAAGACACTTTTTTTTTTTTTTTGTACCTCAAGAAGTTCACAGTCTAGATTGAAGGCATTCATGCATACCCCAAATAATTATAATTTAATAAGATAATTACTGTAAAGTTTGTACAAGATGTAGTAGGAGCAAAGTGGGAGAAATCTCAGCTGTAAAGAAAAATATTTATTTTTTTATTTTTAAAATATATTTTATTGATTTTTTACAGACAGGAAGAGAGAGGGATAGTTAGAAACATCGATGAGAGAGAGTCATCGATCAGCTGCCTCTTGCACACCCCCCACTGGGATGTGCCCGCAACCAAGGTACATGCCCTTGACCAGAATCGAACCCTGGACCTTTCAGTCCGCAGGCCGACGCTCTATCCATTGAGCCGGTTTTGGCAAAAAAAATATTTATTTTTTGATATCCATGGGCCCTGTATTGTTCCAAATTATGCAGAAGGAAAAAGGTCACGGCCCCTTTAAACACACCTTCTAGATCAAGCCGTCCCTCTCTGATGAAGGGAAGCTGCCCGGGTAGGGAGCAATGCAGCAGGTGTTGCCCCCGTAAAAGAAAATGTACTGCAACCAAAAGGGGCTAAGAGCAGCTGCAGGGATGTGGAGCCTGGAACGGAGTGGCTTCTGCAGAGTTGTCGTGGGAGGGAGCACTCCCAGTTGCAGCAAAGTGTTAATGAGCCTTTAACACCTGTGCTGGCACGAGCAGCTGCACAGAAGGTTGACAGCCAGCCTGCAGGAGCAGCGAACATAATCTGGAAGGAAACTTTCCCAGGCTAGAAAAAGGTAATAACAGTTTGGGAAGTAACACATGATGGCCTTTGTTCTTGGACATTTTATTTGGGACTCTTGGGGGTACTAAATGACATCTTTTTGCTCTGTGTACAAGGAGAAGGAGATGGGTTAATGCGCTATTGATCAAACCTGTGCTTTTCAAACCTTGGCTGTAAACCGAAGCCACCAGAGGAACTTAAAAAGAAAACACCACCCAGATGTCTGGGTCCTGCCCCCTAAAAGTCTGATGTAATTGACCCAAGAGATGTAATGGCCCAGGTGTCAGGCTTTAAAAGTGTAGCTCCATGGTTGAGCGTTGACCCATGAAACAGGTGGTCACGGTTGAATTCCTGGTCAGGGCACATGCCCAGGTTGCAAGCTTGATCTCCAGTAAGGGGGGAGGGAAGATGGGGCATGCAGGAGGCAGCTGATCGATGAAATCAATAAAAACCTATTTTTAAAAAAAAATTAAAAAGAAAATAAAATATTTAAAAAATAATAATAATTAAAGCCCCCAGGCAATCTCAGGTACAAACAGGGCTGAGAACAGCTGCTTTGAAACAGTTTCCTGAACTTCCCAATTCTCTTAGTTTTGGATTCTATGGGTCCGGGATGGGCCTGGGAATCTGCACTTTTGCCAAATACCCTGGGCAATTGTTCTGGTCAGAAAGGGTACTAGCTGGAACACTAGTATAAGAGCGATTCTCAGAGGGGTCAGGCTCCTGTGTGAGAACACACAGAGGCTGCTTTTTTAAATGCAGACCTCTGAACTCCACACCAGAATGCCGAATTGGAACACTTCCTGGGTGATTCTGCTGCATCTACCCTTTGAGAACCACTGAGCTGAACAAACAAGTGCGGACTTTAATAACCACCAAAGCTTGTCTGTGCCCGTCTGCGTGAAGCCACCTCCACTTGGCCTGTGTTTACCCGGTGTGTCCCCGGAGTCCCTCTGCTGGTGACAGCGACTCGCGGAGACAGGGTGAATGAAAACTTGCTCTAGGACAGGTCCAGAAACCCAGCTGCTTTAACATGACAAACCCTCACCCAGCTCAATGAAGTGAAACCGGGTCACGGGGGGAATGAGATTGGGGCGAATGCAGAGACCACTGGCTTGGCTTCCTCATTTTTAGGAACATTCAAAGGAGCATGCGATTATAAATTGTTGGTACCAGCACTGCTCCATGGAGCTGGAAGTTGACCAGAAAAGAATGCTGCGTATCTGTAGTTTTACTGTTCTTGTAGCTCCATTCAAAAAGTAAAACGAGACAGGCAGAATTAATTTCAATGCAGTGTAAGTCAGTATGTCTGAACTATTGTCCTTTCAACATATAGTCAGCATGAAAACGACTTATGCAATAGTTCACACCCTTTTAAAAAATTATTTATTTTATTGATTTTTTTACAGAGAGGAAGAGAGAGGGATAGAGAGTTCGAAACGTCGATGATGAGAGAGAAACATGAATTAGCTGCCTCTTGCACACCCCCTACTGGGGATGTGTTCGCAACCAAGGTACACGTCTTTGACCGGAATCGAACCTGGGGCCTTTTAGTCCGCAAGTCGATGCTCTATCCACTGAGCCAAACCGGTTTCAGCTCACACCCTTTTTTTATAGCAAATCTTCGAGCTCGTTGTGTACGCACACGTGCAGCTCCTGCCCTTTCAGACCTGCCGCGAGGCAAATGCTCAGTGGTCACAGGTGCCTGTGGCCAGCCTCAGCCCCCCTCCCTGCGCACCTTCTGTGTTGGGATGGGGTGCAGGTGACGCACACTCAGAGGCAGGCGTCAGTGGTGGGCTGGGAATATAAAGACACGCGGGATGGTCTGTATGTGAATAATTATATATATCAGCATTTTCCCCCCGGACCTCCTCCCCCTGCCCTTTCTCCACCT